AAGGTGTTGGGTCTGGGATGCATAATGCATGTTCCTTTAATTTTTTTTATATTTTTATTTTACTCCACTTTAATTTCCCTAGATATTTTTGGGGACAGATTGATCCATACAAAGTCATTTTCTGACCATACTGTTCTACAGCATCACAATATGGTTTTAATGCAATTCAAAACAACTGGACTTTACTGGCAATGAGGCCTTTACTGCCTCCTTCTGTGTACTTTGATATTTTTTGTTGGTGCCCAACAAGGACCTTATCAATACCTCCAATCCCATTGAACCAAGGACTTATGCTTAAAACTATTGTCTGAAGGATCTACTTTTTTGGCAATTTGGTATGCCATAAAAGGGTTTAGAGACGATAGGTATTGTTTATTTATTTACGGATCGAAATCCACTATAAAAAAGACATTTTACAATAACAAAAAATATAAATCGTATATGTAAAAATACAAATAATATATATAAAAAGAATAAGGACGTATATACATGGTAATAATATAAATGATAAATATAAAAATACAATTAAAGAGTAAAAACTGAACAACAAAAATGAAAAACATAATTACTAACCAAATAAGGCAGAGAAAACAAAATAAAGCTGAGAGACAATTGAAACTACAATAATTAGGTACATATTTAATGAAAATAATGCTCTTTGAAAATGTATAATAAGACTAGAATGCGAGAATTAGTTGAACCAGTAAATGAAATAAATTGTAATAATTTTGTACAGTATGAAATATAAAAGCATTCAACTAAGGTTGTAGGATAAGGTTTTTCACAGATTGCACAGAACTATTGAAGAAGTCAGTGCTATTGCAGATGTTGTTACTCTTGATCATCATTCTGTGTAGAGGAGAAGAGAGCATGTAATTAGAGCTTTGGAATTCAATATAAAATAATTTATAGGTTTTAAGAGAATACGAAGGGACATGTAGCTGTAGTTGAGAGAGGAGATAAGGACTATCAATGAGATGGTTTAATAATTTAAATACAAAAACAATATCAAAGTAATCCCTTCTTAGTGCCAGTTCGAAAAGTTTAAATTCAGAGCGGATTCCAGAGTAGGCAGAATTCGGAGAAAGATTGAGTTTGTAGGAAAGTTTTTGTTGAGGTACATAGTTATACTAAAGTATTGTACTTGATATTCACATTTTAAAATGGTTCCCCTTCCACCCTCTCGCTGTATTCTTGTTAGAGAAATACCAAGAACTGGAGTGACCTTGCATAGTGGTTCTTGTCTGGGGTTGGGAACCCAAACACTACTGGTCTGGAGGTTAATGAAAAGGCCGATGAGGAAGCAAGGCTGAGTCGGCCCTCCCTCCAGATTTAACTACCATGAGCTGGCCATCTGATACTAAAAATACATTAAAAACATGATTAAGAGAAAGTGGAAGCTGAAGTGATAGGCTGAATCAACAGAGAAGTTCTCACGTATCAACAGCACTGTCGATAAGTGGCCTTCAAAGGATCTGACTCGTAGAACAAGGGTCATCATCAACCACCATGTGAGGTTGACAGACACTTTTGGGCCAAAGCCCACTTAAGTGTCAATGTAGAGAAGGGTTGATCAATGTGCCTCACTTAACTGAAGGAGGCCAAGAGAATATGTAGGAATGCCTCCCAATATGAGAGTTATGCTTGAGCACGGCAGGTTTTGGTTTCCTGTTTCGATTTTTGGAGGGAACAGTGGTTTTATTGCATATAGGGCTGATATATGTATTGATTTGTGTCCACTAGTAGGTGTTAACAGTAAATGTATTTATTAGCGTGAATGTTCGTCTATTTGTTGACCCTCTGCCCTAGTAACCAAACAAATGTAATTTTGTTGTTGTCCTCAATGTCTGATGGGGTATTGAGGCGATATGAAACAACTCTGGACATTACTACCATTGAGGTAGCTGCCTTTACTGCCTTCTAGCAGTCCAATTACTTGACTACTTTTCATTGGAAATGCCCAACAAGGACCTTAACAAGTCTTCAATCTAAAAGATAAGTCTTCAATCCTATTGATCGAGGACTTATTTTTAAACTATTGTCTGATGGATCTGTTTTTTGGCAATTTGGTATGCCGCAAAAGGGTTCAGGGCCGACAGGTGACCTCATTGAACATTCCAATTATCTGCCTCTGCCGTATGGGGCCTGGTGGAAAAAAAACCGTATGGACCCAAATAAGGATAATTTTGTTGTTGCAAATGCCTGGCAAGGCCTCAATGCCTCTGGACTTTACTACGATGTATGTAAATGCATGTACACAGATATCCATGCATGGGCATTAATTTTTTCTTCACTTTGACCTTTTCTCATACAGAAAGGATTGAACTGATTGTGTTGGGTGCTGAAATGGCCTAGCTGTTGATATCTCCTGGAGCCCAACCTAAGTGGCTGGTCCGATAAGACCGAGGTCTGACCCCCGGACAGCAACACCCAGGATGGGTAATCCACAAGGCCTGCCAGAAATTTATTGTAAATTACAAAAACTACAATTGCCAATAAGCTCTAGAAATGATAGGCTCTACTCTGTACTTGCATATGCCAATTTGAGCTTATATAAATCATTAATCAATAACTAATAATTAAATAATAGTAAACTTATCTGAATAAAGTAAAATAAATTCTAATTGGCCGTAAACATTACCTTGCATATTTTCTGTCTAGATCGTACACTTCTGGTACTTATTAATAATTTTGTCATTTTATAGTTAATAATTGTTTTTGAAATAACTGGTTGGAAGACACTTTTGAAAGGTGCATAGTTATATGAAAATATTGTACTTGATATTCATATTTAATCATGGTTTATAATAGTACGGTGAATTTCTCAGCACATCCAACAATGGATTTTGTTCTTTTGCTCATTGATGATACATCAAATTTTAAATAGTGTGATATAGTGTGAGTGTATATGTTTGTGCATCCATGGGTTAATATTTTAAAAGAAAATGTAACACATAAAAACAAATCCTTAAAGTTTGAAGGGAGAAAAACCTATCAAAAAACAGTTCAGTGCAAATTGCAATTAAAAATTAACCAACAGCGATAATACTTGCTTATCAGGAAATATAAACTAGGTTGAACATCATCAACCGTATCAAGAAAAAAGTTTGTAATAAATTGCAATTAAAAATTATCTAAAACATCTATAATATTGCTTATCAGAAAATATAAACCAGGTTAAATCTTGAGCAGGGTCCAAAACTCCAAAATCTTTTATAACAAGGTTATCAAATGCATATATCTTTTTAATATTTTTTTAAGTTACTGAGAAGATGTGGATGGATAGAATGCAATAAACCAATTGTTTTCAAACCAACGATTTGAGTAAAAAACACTTATGATTATTATTGCTGTGGGTATTTATTTTTTATTACAATAAAAATTACATTTTTTAAACAATGGATAACACTGTCAGTTAGTAGTTTAATCACTCAAGCACATTCTCTATATTGCACTTATTGTGCTATTATATTTCCATTTCACTTGTTAATATTGATTTTTAATTGTAGAGACAGGAATACCCAAAACCAACGAGATGAAACTCAACAAATGGAATTCTTAATAAACTATGTTAAATTATTAATATTTAACTGTTTTGTATTTTTACTTGAAACGCTTCAGCATTTTATATACAAGGCTCAAAACCTGAGAAGGCCAGGAGGCCCAGCCAGGGTGCAGGCAGATGAAAGGGGGTTTAAAAAGTTTAAAATCTTACAAGAATAGTAATAACAGATCCCATTTTTGAGGATGTGAATAAAAACCATATACAATTACTATAGAAAAGTCCACATTCTCATAGGATCTGAGGCACAACACACCCAAGCCATCTGTAACACCCCGACCATCCCGGGCACAAATCAGTTCTTTCTCTTTTATCTTCTCATTTATTTGGGTGGCACATCAGAAATTGATATTTGCTCATAAAACTAATAAATTTTGTTGTAATCATATCAACTGTATACTGCTAAGACTTTTGCACTAGTTTACTTTTTAACAAGTTATTTTGTTTGGATGAATAAGATTTTATAATTGAACAAAGTGGATATTTTAAGTTTGTAGAAAACATCAATCTGTGAATCACAGGGGTTGCAATGCCTTCTTATGTTTACTGTCTTAATAAAATACACAACCATAAGAAAGTAGCACTGCTAGAAACCATCTAGAAATTAATCAAATTTTACAATTGCCCAGATCAAACTCTTCCAATTTCAATTTGATGAAAATTATTTTACTATAATAGTTAAAATCAAAGAGAAATATAACATTAAATATTTTTTAATTTGTATTAATAAATTTTATTATGTAAATTTAAATAAAAATATATTTCAGGTGGAGCAGTATTCAGTACCCTGATTTATTGGGATGCATGCTTTAGTATTTTTTATGGCATACATTTTAATACATTAATCAGGATTTAATAATTTGACCAATAGTTTAATTTAATAATCTGGCCAATGAACAGGAAGGAGATGTAATATAATATTTCTTTTTTATGGGGGGGGGATACATGAAAAAATGGATCAGGAAGATGGTGGGATTCAAACCCGTGACCAAAGGGTTTACAAGCCAAGAGTTGTCATGCTAACTGTGNTTCCAACTCTGATGAAAATTGCTATACTACAATATTTACAAATCTAAAGTTAGAGGAAGCTACCAAATATGAAAACATTTTGTGATATACAAATATATAAATCGAACTCCCTTAAACCCTGAAATGTCAATAACATTTTCAATACAGCAATAGTATCTTATTTCAGAAACGCATTTGTCAACAATTTGCATTTCTATATTGAACAAATTTAAAATGATGTGGCCATGGCTACTTTTCAGAATTTATCCAATCCTTTTCATAGCTGACAATCATTCAGAGTCTGCAATAGATAACTCCCTCATATCCTACTCAGTTCCTTTCTGCTTCCTTTTATACACTCTGAAGATTCTTTCTTTTAAATTCAAAAAGTCAATTGACAAGAAATTCACAGTCATTTTTTGAATAGCATGTACAACAATTATGTGGTACATAGTACAAAATGACTACAAATTTCTTAACTGATAGAAGAGTTTGGTCAGTGATGCAGCAGCTCTAGGGACATTTGAGTCAGTGGTTTTGCATCTTCATTTTGATTTGGTGGAAATTAAAGCCATATTTGAGGTGATTGTACAAACTTCAGTGAAATAGCAGTTTTTATTTTTGTATCTTTGATCAAATTATTTATTTATAGGTACTGAATAAAATAATTACCATCATCATATCTCGAGGAGAGCTTTAATATAGTAAAGCTTACTCACTGGTTATAGAAGAAATGAAAAGCAGAAATACCACAAGGGAGAATTTTTGTTCTGATGTTATTTACTATTTTCACTCCTGAAATGTCTTTCTAGCACTCACTGCCAGCTTCTATCTGCACAAACTTCACTTGTTTTATAAAACTAAACATAAAAAACTTTAAACTCAACAATATCTGGAAATTAGAGTTGAACCATGTGAAATCATTTCAGTCATTCATTCTGGGCATGACCTTAGGCCAATGAAGCTGAACTTTAAATCATTTTTAACTATCTAAAATAATTTCTGTCTAATAATACACCATAATACCTAATTGGGTGTCATGGATGAGAGGCTAGAACCACTTTAAAATACTTTTTTCCAATTATGGTCAATTAAAATTCCAATGTTTGAATTGAGAACCACTATAGTAGTAATACAAGTCGAAAACCCTAAACTCTTGGGTACAACGAAAATCACAAAATTAATTTAATTTAGAGAACATGTCCATGAGCCAACTAAAGTATACTTCAAATAATTTTGAACTGGTTCTAATAATATTTTTTGATATGTTAATTTCATTAAAAATATATTTCAGGTGGAGAAGAATATAGTGCCCAGAATGGCTGGGTTGCCTGTCTTTGCATTTGTTATGGCATACATTGCTGATAAATTAACTACACATTACCACTGGCCTTCTAGTTATTTTAGAAAGATTTTTGCATCAATCGGTAGTTTAGAGTTTTTATTCTTTTATATATTAAGAATTTAGAATTATTCATCGATGAGTGAATGTTTAATAAAATTTAAGGTTGCTATGGAGCATGTATATGTATATCTTTTACGCTTTATATAAATGGCCCAAACTCAGTAACAATGTTTATACTGGCTACTTACTTTTATGGCACGCTGATCAGTAATGCATATTATAATGCTTTGCTGGATATTTCACCTACATACGTTGGCATTACAGCTGCACTAACTTCAATTCCGTACACGTTCATAGAATGTTTTCTTCTTTGGTATGGTAAAACTTCTATTTCAGTGGTGTGTATATGAAAGTGCAAGGGTCAACTTATATATGTACATATTTATTAACATTTATATCTTTTGTTTTAGAAAACATTCGATGAATTGACTAATATTTTTGAAGGTACCATATTACTCATCATGTTTGGAAATACCATATTCTGCATGGGTACATATGAGAAATATTCATTTGACTTAATCGGCAAAATTCCATGTAATGTTTATATTACATATAATAAAAGTACATGTACAATTTTTTTTTTATTCTAGGGAAAAAAGAGAGTATTCAGTCATACCCTGCTGTGAAAATATGATGAAATTTATTATCATTATGAACGATAATTTAAATTGCCATGTGCATTAATAAACACAAATTTTTCGTGGTTAATCATTCAATTTGTTGAAGTTTATTTTATAAAACAATTGCAGTCCTATTTGTTTACATTGTTTAAATAGTAATAATGGGGACCATTGTGACTTTTATTGTTATTAAAAGCAAAAATAATGTATAAAATTAAAAGAAAAGTTTTTCATTGATGTAATTATAAGAGCAAACAGTGCAATATAATTTCATCTATGTCTATGTCTGTAGATCCTAAGTTATAACTTATTAATGTATAAACACGTTTGAAGTTACAAGAATGCAGTGAGTAAAGGCATTTAACTTTGACAAGTCTAGGAAAGTTCGTCAAGTGCTGAGAAGTATTGTAGGTGGCTGAGGGAGTGTAAAGCATGAATGAAGTAAGTGATAATAATGTAGAATTCAGTCAAATAGTATAGTACTTTCACACTAATTTTTATATGTAATATTAATAAATATATGTATTTTAATTTAACTTTTATTTAGGTTATATTATAAATTTATATATTCCTGCCCTTTTTTGCAAATTAATTATTAAAAGTAAAAAATCCTTAATGGCAGGTTTGCTAAAAAAGGAACCTCTCATAGGCCCAAATCCATCTACTCCCATCTGTCTTTAGAATAAAACAGGATTGGCCGAGCATCCTTTAGTTAGAATTTTCTGTGTCCTTGTCACAATAGAAAGCTTAATCATCTCTTCACAAAAACTTTTCCACAATTTCCTTTTTACTTTTCTCATAGCTTTATTGCATTCAGTTAGGGAGATTTTATTCATCCCATTTACGTGTCAGTTTTGCTTTATTGAAAAGTTTTCTAATTTTAGACCATAGACCATTTAGTTCATTATTCCATCTTGGAACATCTTTGTTTGTACCTTTGGTTTTTAATGAACTACTGCCTCTAGGCTGATTGCCTTAGTCAACTTTTCAGCTAATTGATCTAGTTCCTGTACACTTTTAACTGCAAAGTTTAGCCCTTCTGTCTCTGGCTTATACTTAATAGAGCTGCCAGTTAGTGCTCTTAGGATCTCTAGGTACTGCAATGTTTGATTTATTTGTCTCCACCACAAAGGTTATGATTCTGTGATGGGACATTGATGTTTCTGAGGAAACATCCCACTTTTTATTTTGTTACTAATAAATGTGCTCGCTAGTGCGAGATTTAAGACCTAACTCCTAGAACTATTTGCAAAAGTTGGTTTGTTCCTTCTAATACCCACCACATTATTTGTTAATAAGTAACTGAAGAGATTCACCCCTTTTGTTGATATCGATACTGCCCCGGCTGGTATGATGTGCATTTGCATCATACCCCAATATGAAGTGGATGGTGTTGTTTTTGCAGTGTTGGACAAGCCTACTTATCACGAATGAATTACGAACTCATATATTTACATGATCCACGAAGGCACCACCTTAAAAATGGGTTTCAACAGATGACCAATGTGCTGTATAGAAGACACAGATGACAGAACATATCCTAAGCAAACTGCCATGCAATAGCTAGGAAAAGGCTTTGGCACTGAAAAAACTGTAGATGTTGATACCATACCTCTGTGAGGAATTCTCTACTTCATAAATGAAACAACCTCCAGGGAATCTATTAGCAGAAATCTGCACAATAGAAGAAAGTTTTAGTACTAAGGGGCAACATCCGTATGTCTCCAAATGGAAAAGGAAGAAAAAATTGTCCAAATATCTGTCAAACATAAATAACATTATTACTTTTATTATATACAAAATAATAAATGAAAATTAAAATAATATAATAAATGTAAGTATAATGAGTATAAAAGTATAATAAATGAAAATTCCAAATCTACACTCACTTAAAATGTGCAAGTAAATTTTCCAAAACAAAAGTGATGTTGTACTTTAAAAAATTTTAAGACTTAAAAAAAAACTCTTGAGGACCTATGTCAAACTGCAAATTTAGGCTCAACTGTGTGAAATAATCGATTAACGCCACAGCTCACTTTTGAAAAATAGATCTTTTTCTTTTAAACTTGGCCAAACAAAAATAATATAACTGCCCTTGTATGTTCTATTAATAAAATAAACTTTATGGACCGTTTTCAAAGTTGAACAGTTTGAAAGACATTCCAAGCAATTTTAAGGCGATTTGAAAGTTTTGATCGGGTCGTCAGAGGCAGTGATCAGCTTACTTCCTTTTGATCCGATCCCTTACGTTCCCTGTTTTGTTTTGAAGGAGAAAATCATTTATATCGCAGGTAATCTTCAAATTTATAATCAATCCGTTGTTAATATTTATTTAAAAGAGGATGTTGTATTATTTAAATAAATTCGGTTTACCTTTGGAGTGGTAACCGATGTTGTTAAAGACAAACTGACCGTTCGGTGACATGTGAGTTGGAATGTCGGCCTAACCTTCCAACTCGTGTTGTGTTCTTAAAGAGTGTAAAAATACCAGAGAAAAAAAAATCAATCAGCCTAGAGTTTTGTTTTTTAATAATTTGACCAGCTTAAAAGTTTCTTTTCTCTAATTTCAGGATGGTGCGGATGAATGTTTTGAGCGATGCTCTCAAATCTATTAACAACGCTGAGAAACGAGGAAAGAGGCAAGTCCTCATTCGACCTTGTTCCAAAGTCATTATCAAGTTTTTAACTGTTATGATGAAGAAAGGTGAGTAGACGGCTTAGTTTATGTTTATTGTTTATATTCGTTGCACCTTGTAGTAGGTTTATAGTGAATTCTCTCTTGTCAATGTGAATTTTTTTTACCTGAATGTTTACCCGTCCATGTCAGATCATTCTACAAGGTCCTGTTTTTTTCCCCTTGTATTAGAGAACCACAATTGAATTAAGAAAGTTTTTTACATTTAATTAATATCCGTTCTCATTAACCCATTTAGGATTGTTCTAACTCCTTTTTAACCTTCATGCGGGCGCACAGGCAATAGTCTACTGCCGTCATCATAACAATGTGAGCAACTTTGTTACAAAGTCCGTGTGGGGATTGTATTCTCAACTTACAAAAATTGAAACTAGGTTGAGAGTCATCTTTCGGATCGCCAGTCGTGCCTGTCAACTGTCAAACATTTTTATCTCTTTTTAGTCGATAGTTTACTGCCATGTGCCCGGTAAAGTTTCATTCTTTCATCGGCTGTCAGTGAATTTTGGTGTTTTTTTAGGTTTGTTGTATGCACGAGTATTAGCGATAAAATATAACGTTTTTCAATGCACTGCACCGGTTATTATTATCTAAAGAATTATAATTATGTACTATTATCAAAATTTTCTTATAAATACATATTATCAATTTTTTCTTATATGTAATATTGTTTTTTTGTACACAGTACATGTTTGTACAAGTGTAAATTTATTTCCTTCTCAAAAGGAACTGGGTGTTTTTCATCTTTTTTAAGGCATGTTTCTCTAACATTGAGGATATCTGTAGAATCAAATTATTCAAATGATAATGAATACGTCTTTGACAGATTTAATTTTTTCATCTTTTTTACATAATTTTTTTTTTCAATCTCTAAGACAGGGCAAGTTGCAGTAGGGCTTCTGTTGTGGTCGAAGACCAGATTGAAATGTTGATTGAAGAAAATTCATGTATGACCACACAGGAAATTGCGGAAGAGTGTTGACCATTGAACCATTGTCGCCATCTGGTGCAAATTGGTAAAGTAAAGAAGCTCAACAAGTGGGTATCGAACTAACCGAAGCCCAAAAAAAAATTGTCTCTTCGAAATTTGTACATCTCTTCTGTTGTGTTACCAAAATGATCCATTTCTTGACTGAATCATCACTTGCGTTGAGAAATGGATTCTGTCCAATTACAGGAGGACAAGCATAAAGCTCCAAAACACTTCCCGAAACCAGATCTGCACCCAGAAAAGGTTATGGTGACTGTTGTAGTGAACTGCTGGGGTTGTTCACTATAATTCCCTGAATTACGGTGAAACTATCACACCATAGAAATTTTACCAAGAAATTGCCAAATGTATGGGAGACTGCGATGTCTTTGTTCAGCATTGGTAAACCGTAAGGGGCAGATTCTTCACAAAAACGCCAGGCTACATATTGCAATGCCAACTCTGCGGAAACTTAAGAACTTTACTTCCTTTTTTGTAGTTATTTTGGTCAATTCTTGAGGGGTAAAATTTATAGAGAATGTGATGAAGCTGAAAACACTTTCCAAGACATTTTGTGCTTATTACACGTTAGCAAAGATGTTTAGATTGCGATGGAAAATATTTTGAAAATAATTTCTTTATTTAATAAAATTAAAAATAGTTTTTAGCCTTTTCAAAATCTGCATAATTTTTGCACCAGTGCAATAATAGGAAAAAAGTTGTTCTGATCAAAATCAGGCAAACTGATAGATATTAGTTATGGGGCCCTAAGGCTATTTATTGTTGAGACCTCTGAAAAAGTGATAATTTGTTAGCGCCCGTTCTGGAGAGAATGGAGGACGTTTCCCATCCAATATCCATTAATTTTTCCTTAACTTTGTAATGTGTAAAGTAGCAATGGCCTTATGATAGTCTCGATCAAAATGAATTCAATTGTATAGAATTGTACTTTTCTGTGATGATTTGGACCCACCGAAAATTTAGTAAAACTTAAAAAAGAAAAAATTAAAATTTCATTAGGGGAAAGCCATATTGCCTAGAATACAGGACCTGTTTTTACAAGGGCTGTTTGATTGGACATCTGTTGGACAGGACATCAAGACAAGAGGATATAAATAAACAGTCTTATTAGCATCAATTAAATTGTGCAGTACTCATTTATCCAGACCCAACACTGAAGATGGCCCAAAACGTGCCTGATAAATCAAACCAGTGAGGATATGCAGACCAAAATATCGGAAACTACCACGATCTTTTGTCTGAACAATTTTACCTTGAAATATGATTTTATCATACAATTATAAAGTTCTGTCCGAAATGATAGTTCATTCTTGCTTCTTTTTAGATAAATTTTATATTTGAGAGCTTGCGAATATGTGGTTCCATTGCTTATTCGGAAGAGGTAGTAGTTGAAGGAGGACAAGGTCAGGACTGGCGATTTCCCAATTTTGTCCTTTTTGAAATGGTATTGCTTTGTTTGTTCTTTTGGTAGTCAGTTGTCTTGTTGAAACAATTAATATAAACATTTTTATGAAATGTAATCTTGATAAAGTGAAATTATTAGGTCATTGGTTGAAAGACCCTTAAGACTACAAAATGAAAAGCTTGGACAATTCCCTCCAAAATAAGACAACTGTATTCATGAATTTTGTTTTCCAGGTTATATAGGAGAATTTGAAATTATCGATGATCATAGATCTGGGAAAATTGTTGTCCAACTTAATGGCAGGTTAAACAAATGTGGTGTCATCTCACCAAGATTTGATGTACCTATCACTCACATAGAAAAGTGGACAAATAACCTCCTACCCTCAAGACAGTTTGGGTAAGTTAAAAGTTTTGAGAAGAAATTAGAATTTGAGTTCATTATTTTTTTTCTTTTGCAGGTATGTAGTACTTACAACAAGTGGAGGCATTATGGACCACGAAGAAGCAAGGCGGAAACATCTTGGGGGGAAAATATTAGGATTTTTCTTTTAATAAAAGTGGCGAGATGTAAAATATACTTTTTTCCATTTCGTTAAAGTTGTCATTCTTTATTTGTACTACCTATTATCAATTTGCTTTATTATTTGTACTACCTATTATCAATTTGCTTTATTAAAAAAAAAATCATCACCAATGTGTATTGAAAAATTGCTAGGAGAAATTTTCTTTCAATATTTTTGCTCTCTCATACTTCATCATTATAGACCTCATACCAAGTGTAAGGTGATAAGGAGATTTTTTTTTCAATATTTTACACAATGTTACTATGATGATCAATGGATTTTCATTTTATTTTTATTTGTTTATTTATTTACTTTTTTTTTTGCAGTTAACTTTATCGTACATAAGTCATATACTTCCAGTAAAGTTAACTAAAAAAAAGTATATATTCTGTTAATTGTCATTCTTCAAATTTTTGTAACATGTTTGTAGAAAAGTATATAAATTAAGTAATAATAACAATCAATTAAATAAAAAAAATTTTGTTTTCCAAGAGCACTTTGTACTGGTGCAAGTAAGGACAAATACAATGGGCAATATATTCCAAGTTGTTTCCTTAGAATTCAGCTAGTATTTGTCGGTCAAGGAGCTTTTTCAGTTTATCAATGCCAACGAGGATATTTCAACTATGAGGTTCTATGAATCCTAAGGGTTCCAGTGAAAAAAAGCCTATTTTACATATGTTGGGTTTGAATGCAGGACTGCTAGATTCAATCCCGGGACTTTTATAATGATGAATGTGCAATATTGTTTTCTCTTATCGCTAACTGTCCCTTGTGTTAAGAAATCGGATTTCAGCGATGGCTTCCAACCCAAAAAGAGAATTTATACTCTGGATGAATACACACTTTTTTATTTACCCAAACTTGCTGAAAATAGGGCCATAAAACTGTCGAACTCTGTTTTGAGCGACAAGTCTCATCCATTGGATCATTAATTGTGATTCTTCCCTGAGACCTGACGAAAAGAACACCTCCATAACTAGCAAAATGGAGGAGTTTTCTTTCTGTCGGCTTGAGTCTCCTTCCATAAATTCACTATGGGAAGTGGATGGGGGAAGACAGGCGTTACGACACAATGAAGGTGTTTTCTCTTAGAGCCTGTTTTTCTTCTCGAATTAAATTCTTCTGAATCCCTTACCTTGTACCACCTGCCTTACTCTCTTTTCTATCGGCTGTTTCAAGTTTCTGGGTAGATTTTGGTTGATAGGATGAATCGAATCTTTCTTTCTCCTCCATGAATGCTGTTTCGCCATTTGCCTCACAAAAGTTACTTCTCAATTTATTAAATTACTTCTTTTAAGTTTAAACTTTGGAAAACACCATGGACTAAATTTTTTCTAATTCTACTATTTTTCAGGTTGACAGTGATTGGAAATTGGTTTATTTCGTGGATTGATTTTAGCTCGGCAAAAAATGGTTTCGAGTTAGCCCCGACTAAGATGTATGTCAAGGCCTAATTTTTTTTTTTAACAAATCCCAGCTCATCAATCCATCCAACTCTGAAGCGGGACTATCGTAAAATATACGCCTTTCTCCTATCTCACAGTCCAACTACTTATTTTGTGTTGTAAGAGATTGCTCAGTAACACCTCTGGCTTGGACTCATGATAGTTCAAGTCTAAATCAGAGCTACCCGATCTTTTGCCCCCATTTTGATCTAATGTTCTACTTGATCTTTCCTTTCCCTTTTTGTCTATAATAGGCAGTAGATTTTTATGCTCTGGAATTCTTAATTTTCAGCCATCTGGTGAAGCTGTAAGTGAACAGTAATCTTTAGGGGAAATCAGTACCTGAGACGATAAGCAAGAATAATGAACTGGTTTTCCACACAGATAGTAACATAACTTTTTTTTATCCCTTTCCACCACTCCACTGTACCCTAGGAAGACCCCATACTGGCGGACAAACGCTTTTAAGTTAATCGAATTTATATATCTAAGGGATTTCAAATAAATGGGATAAAATTACCTCCCAACGATCTCCCTTCAGGTGAGACCACTGGTCGGTTTTCGAAGGAACAATATTTTCATTTTAAAACCTAAAACAAAAGATCTTCCCTTGCTGGTTTCCCCTTGCACATTTACATTTTCTTGATTTTCTTTTCTGTAAATTTATATTATCTAAAATTTTCTTACTAAGAAGAGGAAAACAGCCTGGAACCCTAAACCTAAACCTATGTTTAATTATGCAATAAATAAATAAATAACTGTAATAAAACTCTAACAATAACAACAATATTTAGGACTTAGCAGAATAAATAGGGACTTGTTCATTTAAGCATAGTTGAGGCAAAGTTTTTAGTGCTGCAAATGATTTGGTATCACATACTGGTTTATGGGGATTAAGCGGCCATCCTGATGAGGTAATGGTCTTTTGCAAACGTTCTCTTTCTGCATTGAATTTGGTATCTTCTTCGGTGCTGCAAACGGGGCTGTCTCTTTTCTTAAATTTATGGAGATAGCTTGCGAAGTTTCCATGTCCTGATAGCATTGGGTGGTCCAGTAGTCAATCGGGGTGTAGCCATTTTGCTTTTTGTCTCCTTTCAACTCTGGGGAAAAATTTGAATGTCAGCCGACCCTTATTGTTGTTTGTCCAACTTTCTTGCCATGCTGCCCTTGTCATTTTTTCCAAGTATTCTTTCGCCTCCTTTCCAGTTGTGCTTCGGAACCAGTCTATTTCTCCTTGACTTGCTCCTATATCAATTGTCTCATTTTTTTTTTTNTTTTTTTTTTTTTTTTTTTTTTGGTGTATGACCACCCTTTCTTTAAGGACAAGATCTATTGGCGGTGCGTTGGCAATTGCTTGTATGGCGTTGAAATCGTCCTGTACCCTTTTGTGGTTCTTTTAAGAGCTATTTGTTGGCTTTGCTCTATTATAGCTTTGCTTTTGCTTGGTAGTCGTTTGACTCATCCGGCTGCACCATAACTTGCTATTGGGAGGAAGACACTTTTATAGATTGTGGAGAGCGCTTTTGTGCTAAGTCCATATTCCACTTTCGCTATTCCGTTCAATCTATTGTACACACTTCTTGTCGTTTCCCTTATTTTTATAGCATAATTAATATATAGTAATAACCGTGATTTGCATTGCATTTGTCACATCTTTCTTCCTTGTTCAAGTCTCCCGTCTCAGTCTCAAGATTCTTCATTCGGCAAGTTGAATTACTAACAAGCAGAAGGTGTAATCATTGAGGTCAACTTTCTGCCTTCTGTTTTTGTTTATTAAGCACAGTTTTCTCTTCATACTTCTCTTTCTGCAGTAATTCCAGTAAAAGTCACCACATTTCTTTTCTTTAGAGATACAAAAAGAGTTTAGTCTATTATACTAAAGAGAAAATGAGAGTTTAATAAATTTTTCAGAAAAAAGAAATTATTTTGTTTTTATTTGTAGCTTATACATATTACTAATGTGATCACATTCTGGATGGGATATACCATGAAAAATCAGCCAATGCTGGAAATGAGAAGGAAGGGAGGTCCAATGTTTGGAGATAGAAAAGAAAATGTGATGAAAGGGAAGTTGATATATGCCGCAGATTGGAAAACGGGATTAAAGGGAATTAAGTCCACTCTTCAAATGCGGAAAAGGAAACGAGTAGTAAGGTGGTTTTAATAAATTCTTCAGAAGAGAAAATGAGATGGAAGACAGTTGTTGTGGAAAAGAACTGTGATGTGGAGAAGAAAACATGACAAAAGGGGAGCTTGTTTATGCTGCAGAGGAGAATATGAGATGAAGGAGACTGTATCAATTATGCAGATGCAGAATATAAAAAGAACTGCAAGCAAAATTTTGCCCACTTTGCACATGCATAAAACAAATGGAGATTCAAGGTGTTTTTTTTTTTTTGGTTCGTCAGGAGTAAATGAGGTTAGTAAAGAGAGTCCACTTTAGACCCAGAAAAGAGAACAAGATGCAAGGATTATTTAATAAATTCTTCAGAGGAGGAAATGGAAAGGAAGAGAGCTGTGAATAATTAAAGGCAGCTCCAGACATTTGCCGAATGCCGAGCAAAGGTTCACCGAATCCCGACTAGTGGGGATAAGTGCTCAGTTATTCACCGAGCAACAATATTTGGTTCTTGCCATGCTCAGCTAATTGTTGGTTTTGCTTGCTTGCTTCAAAGTGCACAAATATTCGTGAAAAGCCCAACTCAAAGCATCCACACATTCGGGAATCAACTGTACTGTACAGATTTCAACTTTAATCATCAATCGACACGACTATTTATTTTTCAATAATAAAAGATTCCTAACTAGTATAGATGTATTAATGAAAGAACATCATAGCATTGTTTTTGTCAGGAATGGAACCAATAAATTGGTACTCTTCTGAATCACAAAAATCGGAATAAGGTTTTTGATGTGTGGAAACGGATTAAAATAAGATGGGGAAACAGTACTTTGTGACTGCAGCAACTACAAAAAAAAGTAACCCCAGCTGCAGCAATAACAGTTTCACTGTTGTCCATCCCCATGTAAGTTGAGGACTCGCACAGCACTTGGAAAATACTTATTTGCTGTTTCCGCACAGACTGCTTGTGGTACACAGGCATGCTACTTGGTGAATGGCAAGAATGAGCATCTCAAGAAGAGCAAACGTTCGACAGCAATCGGTATGTGGCGAGTATGTTTGGAGCCACCTTCAGATGCCAAAAATAAAACAATGAATGGGGATTTTATGTATACTGCAGAGGAGACAACAAGATGAAGTTGATATCAATTCTGCATTTGCAATGAAATCCAAGCACAAAATTTTATTTGAAAAGAAATTGAGTATTGAGTTACAAGGAGTTTTATGATTTTTTTTTTTAAATTAATTGATATTAAAGAAAGTTGAGTGGTAAAGTCCAAAGTCATTTGAAATTAGAAACTGTGTCAGACAGAGGAAAACAGCAAAATTACCCTTGCTTGGATATCAAGGCAGAAGGGGCAACAATGAGACCCATAAATTGGGCAAGGAAAATTTGATTAAGAAGCCTATTGACCCTGAACCCTTTTTTGGCATATAAAACTGCCAAAAATGTGGATCCATCATACTACGGATTAAAAATAAGTTCTCGGTTCAATTGGATTATAGCCCAGGACAAAGGAATGCAAAAAAATTAATTAAAGGACTATCACAGAAACTAACAGCATAATTACCATAACTAGTACCTGTTAGGAATAGAATAATTGGACTGCTAACTGGACACTGCAGGCTCCAGACGCAGACTTAGAGTGGCAGAATTCTATGTACATATTGCTAGGAAGAAGAAGAGAACAGAACATATTCTCTGTTGGTGTGAAGGCTTATTTAGGCTAAGATTCCTAATCCTGGAAGAGGAAAAACCCAGGCTGAAGGATACACAGGGTAGTTCTTGAAAAAGCTTTAGTATCTGGCTAAAAGTCTTAAGCTTTGTACGGAGCTCTGACATGGAGATGCACAATAGGCCAATACTAATTGAGGTGTGCAGGTCGTAAAGAAACCAATTTAATCTAATCTAGTCGTAATTCCTTCATAAATGAGGGTTTAATGTCCAACTACCTGTTGTACATGTTCAAGGGGACAAAAACCATTTTACAATACTTTGCCCGAATTAATCTGTCTGAAAAAATATTTTTTTTCCTTGTGAATTTTCATTCCTGAATAGTCCAATAAGCATGAAATAAAAGTAGATGTGGAATAAATTCTTAAAAAATAATACAAATCACGAAAAACAGATTAGATGTAAAAGATATAATTTACAATAGGATAGACAGATATGTAAACTTCCCAAATAAATAACAACTTTATTTAGTGTCTACATGAACAAAGAATGTACACAATAATCAGAATTATGATCAATTAATTAATGAAAATTGCAGGTCAACAATAGTTATTTGTACAAATATAGGAGATTGTTTATACATTCTAATATTATGACAATTTATTAAATGGAAAATACATTTGACTTGAAAATAAAAGGTAAAATTATTTAATGGGCACATTTTGGTATTACAAAAATAAAGCAAATGTCACATCCATCTTTAAAACATTGTAAACAAAATTAAATTCGTTATTGGTCAAGAAGCTACTTACATTTATACAACATTTTTTTGAAGTTTTTTAAATATTTTTTATATATTTTGTATGAAATTGTGGAAGCCTTATATTTTGCCTGGATATTATAAACTTAATACATAATGCCTTAAATGTCATTAACTAATTTTTTTATCGACATTTAATTCTGGATGATAATTAAACTGAACAACACGATATGTTTTGAGTTGTAGCATTGCAGCTTGTCCACATACTCAAACTTTTTATCTTACAATAAAATTACACCCTTGACTGTAAAATAATCTTTGGACCTATACAATATTTATATATTTATATATATGTATATAATTATAAAATTACTGATGCACCTACAACTGGGCAAATTTGGTTAAATACTTCAGAAATCTTGAAAGCTTTCTGTTTTTACATTGTAATTTTTTGTTGCAATTTTTCTTTTATAGCTACTCGCCCATTGTACATCATCAAATATAAAGCTTACACCTAGCGTCAACTAGCGCTTTTGAGAACATAAACATGAGGTACTGAAAATTTTCTGACAGAAACAATTAAAAAAAGTCTAAATAAATACTTAAAAAGAAGGTATAAATACAATAATAAAAAATAATAAAATTAGAGTCTTAGAGCAAATGACTCCACGTTAAAATTATTATAAGAGATAAAGTTTCCAAAATATATATATATATTTATATATTTTTAACTATTTATATCAGTTCAAATATGTCTGTCTTAGAAGTAAATGACAGCACAACGTGGCGTTGAAACAATACGTCTACACAACACTTTCACAATCTTGAAAATAAATGACAAGAGTTCTTTGGCCCAGGTATCCGTCATACCTGCAAATAAATTCTTTATGAACAATTTAATTATATGTGCTGTAGGGTCCATATGAAACTCACTCCGTCAAACTTTGTGCTGTCTCATATGAAATGTGTTTCTATCCGTATAAGCACCCGCATAGAGATCAGAACGGCTTGCTGGTGGTGCCGAAGCTGAAACAAAAAGTAAGTTACAAATAACCGAGACATCACAGTATTTAATCAATTTTATTTAAGGAATGTTTTGACTGTGGAACAAACACGCTAGCAACTTTATAATGATTCAAAGAAATAGGCAATTGTTTTGCCATGTATCAACAAAATAAATAAACATCTAACAGTACACATTATCATCATTATGATAAGAAGCGTATATACAATAGCTGCACTGTTTCCAAGACAAACAAAACATTTAAAATTGTATTATTTACTATTACCAAAAACACCCACTAACTTTGATTTTAAACACTACTGCCATTTTCAGACAAAATTCATATTATTATTTATTCCTTTTTATGATGTCAACTATGATTTATTCTATTTTCTTTACTAAGGTGAGATACAAACTATTTTTTTAGGTATAAAAAAATTGCCTTTTCAAAACGTTTTACTATCTTTGTAACAGTACATTATAGGCCAAATTGAACTATATATTGGGTTATAAAATAAATCTACAGCATTCAATCTGATTTTATCTCTCTTGTGTTTTCAAGCAATGTTTAGACATTGTTGGTTCACACTGTGAAAAGGGATGAAAACGGAAACCCACAGCTCAGAAGGTAGGAAATTTCGTGATGTGTTTGATGATGATTTTGGAGAAACCAAGTCTAGCTTGTTTGTTCAGCAAAGAAGCAGAAATTCTGATTTAAAGATGCAGCCTTAGGTTGTCCTTCAACTGTTGTTGACCAAATTGAAGATTTTGTCACAAATAACAGATACTGCATCATAATAACCGACACTGAACTATGAAATGAGATAATTTATCTTGTAAAAAAAGGTTACTCAGTGTTACACTTGGCCAAGGAGTGCCACGCTTTGGCTCCTTACAGGGAGTAGTAGGCACCCGACATAAGGACAAACTTTGAGCAATTTTTTAGGGAAATGGGTTTCTTTCCCTTCTGTAAATATTGTATATAATTAGTGTGTAGCCGATAGCTACAAATGTGCGTTATTATGGCTCCATTGTTGGTAGCCTGGCATAAAAAAAGAAAGAAAAAAGATTGATATCTGGGAATGAAAAGTGGAGCCTTTCTTAAGGTGCTTTTACACATGAGAGGAACACACAGCCGATGTTCACATAAGTCTCCATCACAATTTTTGCGAGTCTACTGGACAGTTCTGAGAGTGATTTAGACAAGACGTCTTTAACACGAAAAGAGAAGTTGCAGTAGCATTATTACTTTTGTTATAAAGCAGTACCATGGGAATTGGAAGACACCCAGTATTTAGGAAATTTTGAAGAATTTCAGTTCAGAAGTTGGACTGCTGGTAGAATTAGTGGAGTCTATAATTAAAACAAAAAGACACTGCAATGAGTGAAGCAATTCTGTTCATGAGCATCTTATAGTCACCTTATGATTAATCTCAGGAGCCAGACAATTGAAGTCTGTCGCTAATTTCTCCATCACAAGGTTGTTTTAAACTATATTTTTAAAATCTGTACTCAGGACGTTCCAAAAGAATTGGATTCAATTTGTATGCTTAAAGAGATTGCAAACATTCTTGTGGGTCCATTTTTTAAAAAATTGAATTTGGTGTTTTACTCTCAGCAAATTCAATTTTTTTTTTAAATTAAGCTAACAAGGAAGATGCAACTTTGCATCTCTCAGAACACTCCCCCTCTACTTTTGACGAGAACTCTCAGAGGCCTTTACACCTGCTCTCACGTGTAAATGCACTTTAACACTATTCCTAGGAAATCCAGGGGAAAATGATGCAAACCATTGTAAAGGACTCTAAAAGCAGGATTACATCCAAGAAGGTAATGTTGTGGATTTGGTGGTATTCGAAGGGGGTGCTTTTTACGAGTTTTTCAATTTTAGTGTACCCTGCACACAATTGGAATGATTAAAGTCAGAAATTGACCAAAAATGTCTGGCGGTGGCTAATTGCAAGAGGATTTTTTCCACCACGATAATACTCGCTCCTATATATTTTTGCAGACATGGCTGAAATTTGTTGGAGCTTGGCTGGGAAGTGCTTGTGTATCTCACCAGTGTATTTGCCTGACATTACTCCTTCAGATTTTCACTTATTCTGGGCTCTACAAAACTATTAATAGGAATAACTTTACTTCAATTGAGGATGCCAAAAACACATTGAGGAGTTCGCTCAAAAACTTGAGACGTTTTGGGAGAACTGGAATATGGTAAAAAGATGGCAACAGGTGGTGGAACACAATGGTTTATTCACTGTTTAAAAGGACCTGCAATTTTCATTGAATTTACCATCAAATAATGGTAAGGATTTATTTTACAACCCAATATTTAAAAAAAAAAAAAAAAAAGGTATAGTGCGTGTGGTAGTTGTACCCTAGTTCTGCATCTATTTAATTTCTTCTTGTATGTGATTAATTTATTTAATGATATATATTAAGTGGAGTTTCTAGTTTATTTTTAATTAATTTATTTTTTAAACTTCAGTATAGTTTGAACTGTCAAGTGATGGTCAGATTCAATAATTAATCATCCTCTGGTTTGATGGTAATTTTCTTTTTAGTAAATCTACTAGTGAATTTTTTCAGTTTCAGTTGTAGATTTCTCCATGTTGTTCGCAGGGGAATGAACTGTAAATTTTGTGTTACCAATCATTTTCATCTCCCTATCTACACTGGGTTCTATCAGATGCGTTACGGCAGTTTGCAGTTTTGACTCTGGGTGATTTCGGTGATTCGTTTTTGTTTTAGATATACTCATACAGACAAACAAAAACAATCAGTAGTGACCAAATTTCAACTTAGTCGCTGCATCTTTTTTTGCTTGTTTTGGATCTAGTAGCCTAACCAACTAGTAGCCCTAACCATCCCCAAACGATATAGTAGCACACCAAAAAAGGCTTGTATTCTTTTACCATACTTAACGTTGTTGGTAGTTTTGTTGCTCAAGGTTCTTTTAGACACAAAAAATGTTTTTTTTTCTCACTTTCATTGAAAAGTTTGTGAATCTTTAATGCACTGACTATGTCAAACAAGTGGCCTTCTATACTGTTAAAGCATTTGTGATGGTAATGTGCTTTTCTTTGGAATATCTGCCATCTTTTTACTTCAGTTTCTTTGGATTGTTTACTATCATTTTCCATTTGTCGGTTGTACTTTTGGTGAATGTACAATGACATACAGGTAGCAACAACCAATTGTCGGTTGTTGATACCAAACAGTTACTTAGATAAACTGTTCAAAAGTTACAGCAATTTCAATAGCAATGGAACCATGTGAATTGCTTCGGTTCAGACTTTGGATTTTGATTTCGGACTAAAACCAATTAAGGTTCTCATAGTGAATGTATTAAATTTATCTTGTAACTCTACTCGCATATTTTCAACAGACCAAATGTTTTTACATTTTTCCACACTTTAAATATGTGTGAATTTATTTGGTTTTAGTTAATTGGTTAAAGAAACTGCAAGACTTTTTTGTTCAATGTTCCACATTGGAGAGATAATGAAAAATAAATACTGCATTTCTCAAAAATAACAGCTTAATTTGTTTACAATTAATCAACTTTTACTAAAATATTTGTTCTTTTATGACTCAACTTTTGTGTACCTTTCATTTTCTGGTAAACACTTGTGTTTTAATTAAAACCCAAATCTTGAAATAACTTTAATAATAATAATAAATAAGAAATTGAAATGTTATTCAATTAAATTTAATTAATTTTGGATCCACTTTTATACAATTACAGTACAAACACTTATATTTTAAATTTTAAAGTACAACAAAGAGCAATAAGGCCCTCCTACATGCTGCCGATTTGCGGTCGACAAAACTTGAATGCAACACAATCTCAGCTCGATCTAAACATGAGGGTATCCGTTCACTGGTTGATTTTTGTTCAGTCTACTTGTGTCTCGTCAGGAGGGGCCCATAAACGGTTTGTTAAATGAGTAGTTCAGGTGATGAGGAGGACAATGTAACGGTATGGTCAAATGAAAAGTAAGCGAATGAAAGAATGTACATTTGTACATCCATACAATCAATTACCGATTAAGCCAAGGAAGAAAAACAAACAATTGAATGCACTTTTAGCATGTTGGTGGAAAAATTCCAATACTCAATAATATGATACTGATAACGGAATAACATCATAATTAGTACAGTTTGTATACTTCATACCTACGCTACAAAAACAGAAGGCTCACAATAGACTCCACAAATATTTCCACCTGCCCCGAGTGATTTTTCGCCATCACTTTGAGCAAAAATAAACGCTATTTCAACCACAAATGGTTAAAGATAATTAATTATGGATTTTAGTTGAGATAAAAAAGTCAATGGCACGAGCGGGATTCAAACCCACGATCTTCGGCTAGATACGCCGCTGCTCTACCACTTGAGCTATCGTGACTTCGATCCAATCGGACACTAACTTCTCATCTCAATCTCGCCTTTTGAATTTTCCCTCCTTTTTGCCAATTTTCAATCCCGCTCGTGCCATTGACTTTTTTATCTCAACTAAAAACCTTAATTAATTGTATTATATTAATTGGTCAAGCGGACCACGAAATTAGTGAATTTAATGATTTAAAATGAAGTATACTTCACTAAAGCTCTCCGTGGCCATTTCATTTGTCACCGAGAATCCAATCCGATTACACGACATTTGAAAAATGGCAAAAAGGAAGGAAAACTCAAAAGGTGGGGTTGAGATGGGAAGTTGATGTCTGAGTGGATCGAGGTCACGATAGCTCAAGTGGTAGAGCAGCGGCGTATCAAGCCGAAGATCGTGGGTTCGAATCCCGCTCGTGCCATTGACTTTTTTATCTCAACTAAAAACCTTAATTAATTGTAATATATTAATTGGTCAAGTGAACCAAGAAATTAATGAAGTTAAAGAGAATATTTATCCCATTATTTTGTGACACCAATCACTGCCAGGGCAATGGAACTACTGTTTTTAAATGGCTAAATTTTAGATTATGTATTAACTTTATTTACTTTTTTGTTCATTCAGAAGGTTCTAACATCATCATTAAACCATATACAGAAGGTTGTAATAATTTGTACAACTCATAAAAAACCTCATTCCACGCTTTTGCTGTTGTGTCCTTTCTGGTACTGTACAATTCAGTACAATTTATCACCTGTACAAATTTTATGTTCGATGCCTCCATGGGATACTAACTTGAACCGTGCAACTTGCTCGAATTCAGCAGTGCACAGCAGGTCGCATGAGTTGAATCCAAGTTGCGCTGCAAGCAATTCGAGAGCGGATCGAAATGTTGTTGAACCGTGAGTGGTAGCCTACCTACTTGCACAGGAAGTACAGTTGCACTGACCCATTTGGAGGACCTAAGTGTTTTAAATACACCCAAAAGCAAACAACTGGACAATCGTATTTTGTTGTTTATTTCAAACTATATGTATTTTTCTTGTTATATTAATTATAGTTAATTATATATATATATTATATATATTAGTTATATACTTATTTTAACCAAATTAAACAAGGTCGAAAAATCATGAGTTTTAATAAAAATTATGATGGTTGGAAAAAAATTTCACCAAAACACCCGCAAATCAACGGATTAAAATTTAACTTACAATTTATTATCTAGTTTTGCTATCCTAGGCATTGAGTAAAGAAATAAGCGACAAGATTTTGTTGTCTGTTCAAACCATTCTGCAACAAGAGTGGTTTGAAGCTGGCTCGTTGTTGCAGTGAAAGATGCCTAGGCCATCACTTTGTCATGTCCCATAAGGCCAGGTTCACACATGAGCGGTAAGATACACATCTTTAGGTCGTAAGTGATATATGATAATCATCTTGTAAGATATGCAATGCTCTGACCTATAAAAACATGAAGGAACGACGACAAAATTGGTTCACACCTGTCATAAGATAAGTATATCAAAAGACTCTGCTTGCTTGTTTCTTCCTTAAGTGTTGCACGATATTGCGAAGGGTGGAGAATTCAAAGAATGAGGACATTGGCGTTGATTAGATATCTGGCTTATGTCTTATCGCTTCAGTATGAACCTCAGTTATCTTAGGATAAAAATAGTGTCTCTAATGTTTTTCTATAGGATTCCTGTCAGATGAAAGTGCTGGAAAATTCAGTGTGGTAATCAGTACATCCTCCAAGTAATGCGTGACAACTTGAGCTACATGCGGTAGGTCATTATCATGCATTAACATGAAGCTGTCCTCAATAAATGTTGCAAACCGCCAAATGTTGTTGACCACAGCTTCCAGATGAACATTTTCAATTCAACTGCTTAAAGATCTAAAGATCCATTCTGAATGACAACACACAGTTCAGTATGGGCATGGACGTTGATACCATAACTTTGAAAAGGCTGTGACTCACTCGCACCAAAGCTTCACACGGTCCCGGTCATATGATTGTCAAATTAAATCAGCACTGATCTGTGAAGAGAACAGCCTCCTCATTGTTCAACTGCACAAGCGTGATTGATTCACGAATAGTCGTCTTTCTATTGGATGCCGTTCCAGTAGTTCAGAACCTGATTCAGGACGTCTAAGTACTAGGTTAATCTCATGAAGCCTGTTTTAGAGCTCACCCTTACATTACAGACTGTTTGGAGTTGACTATCAAGGAAACCGTTAAATGACAGTTACACAGTGTGGTAAGAGCAATAAAATGATCGTCTCTAGCTGCTGTACATCACGGTAGTCTCTACCTTCCCTTCAATCAAGACTTCTGTGATGCTAAACTGCTGGCTTCAAGGCTGGTAAAAAACAGCTTGCCCTGGGCTATGTAACGGAAGCTACGTCCATCATCAGACAAATAATCTGCTCAACTTAAAATCATGCTTTTAAGAAAAAAAAATTAAGTTTGTACTCAAATTGTTTCTTTAAAGAAAACTACTTAAAACAACCAGTTGACTCATTTGACAATTTGGCTCAGGAAAAGATGAAATTAAATTGATTTTCTTTATTTTTAATCTGAAGAGTGTAAAAGGATCAGTACACTCTATAAAGGTAAACAACTCGTAATTAATGTTGTGTTTTTGTTTTAAGTCAGCTAATAATCTTTGCTACCTAGTTATTTTTTTGTTTTTGTTTTTTTGTCTTTATTGTATTTATTTAGTATATTTTGCCATTATTGTAAAATTAAAAATGATTTAAAGAAAAGTGTTATTATTGGGTGTATGCATGCATTCTTAATATATAATAGCGCCAAAGCATTAGTTTGTACAACACCTCATACAACTCAATGTTCATTTTATGATAATTGAATATGAAATTAAAAACCAAGGTGATAAAGTATATACATACAGTTATATAAAAAAATGAATAAAATTTTCTTACATTTCCCCAAAACAAAGAGTTGTATGATGTTAGTAAATAAAAGCTAACTATTTCTAATGTTAGTAAATTACCTTTCGGCGGGTAGTAATGCCCCCTACCTTCCCCGTAGCCGTGTGCTGGTCCCCTTCTTCCTCCTGGACGAGAACCATGAGCAGGAGTCTACAAAAATGAATGAAGTGTTGAAATATATCAACAATAAAAATTAAAAGTTGGTATACCATTCTCCTAAGGGTGTGAATAGGTCGTCGAAGAGTTTCTGAAAACCTTCTTGCGGGTGGTTTCTTTGGATTGGAAGAAGGTGTGTGAACAGCACAGCACTTGATGAATACACCCATAAAGACAATAAATGCTATTCCCATCAAGAGACATGCCCACCAATACTCCTAAATATACAATTAATCATTAAATACATAAAATAAGATTAAAAAAATTAAATGTAGGCGGACTAACCGTAACCCATTGAGTTAGAGTGAGAAGCGTTTCTTTGTTAAAGAGCATATTTTTCAGTCTTGCTAAGGGGCCTTCAGCGTCAACTGCTCTACATTTTAAAAACACATCACAGTAGCCTTGAAAGTTATCACAGGGGGAACCGGGACGAAGGGAGATCCCTTTGGGCGGGAGGCCAACTCTAGCCGCAAATTCACTCGTGCTACGACACGTCGAAGTATCACTGCCGTTCTGACAAGCTAGCTCACAAAGTGATCTCTTATCAATTACATTTCCACCCTGTGATGTGAGGAAACACTCGGTCATGTTCCATTCAAGGCATATTGAGCCTCGACATTCACCATTGATGCACAACTGATAAAAAAATAAAATTATGACGAAAAACGTATCAGGTTTTTTTTTTTTTAAAGTGAAATATACCTGAGTTCCTTCATTACACCTAGTTTTATTGGCTTTAGGACTTGGTGCAGGGCATGTTGGTGAAGTTCCATCACAGACGGAACTCCACGAACATTCAGATTCAGGCTTACACCTCATATGCTGAAATTTCGGCACAAATCTACATTCATCACTCATGCAGCATGGTCCCTGACTAGGACTGCAATTCAAAGTAAAAAAAAGTAAATAATTTTTGTAAAAAAAAAGAAAAAAGAAAGAAGTTTTTGATTTGAAACAGCAAATACCTGCACTGAGTGTTAGCTTTACGGCTACAACCTTTTGCTGAACTGTTTTTTCTTTTGTCAATTTCATTAAGAATCCTTGGATAACAGCATTTGTCATTGCATTCCAAATCATCATACCCACAGTCACATTCCTCTCCATTCTCAACAATCTTGTTCCCACAAAATGCTCCAGCGGAAGCTAAACAAACAAAACTTGTGTAAATTGTACACTTTTTATTAAAAACCTACACTAATTATTAACTGAGGATAAACAAAAGATCAAATTAGTTAATTAAATAAAACATGATTAAAAACCTTTAAAACAATTCCATTTCTTCTCGTCTTCAATGGCATCTAAAACATTGCTAATGTTGCCAATGCTACACGATGAAAACTTGCTGTTGTTTGGTCTATCACCGCTTGTCGCAGATGCGAACATAATGTAATTTCCACTCTGACCTCCTGGTCGGCACTCAGAAGGGTAGTCATGCTGAAGAAAAATTATTAAAACAATTAAAGCTTTTGACAATTTTATTGCAAACATGTCCATTAAGAAATTTAAATTTGCTTTATTTTAAACATCGTATTACAACCACCTTAAAATACTAAGGAAGGTCTTTTATATTGTTCAAGTAAAAAACATATGATTAAAAATGTGCCAACTGTATTTCACAATTAAAAAAACTTAAAGTAACTCACAGGCGAGCCGAAATTATGACCAATCTCATGGGCCAGTGTCAACTGTGAAACTTTGGGTGGGACTCGGCTGTTGTAGTTGACAAAAGTAATAATTCCAGTGTTAAGGCTTCTCTTTGTTGACTGATACAGGCCTCCCACTGTTTCAGTGTAAGTTTTGTATCTCTCGCAAATCCCTCCAGAAGCACCTGAAACATCATTAGCCTCTTTATTATACTGTTATGAATGAATTAATTAAGAAATTTTCTTTTAGCTACTGACCTGATGCAGATGCGACCCAAGCCAACCCTAACGTCCCACCAGTGAAATCTCGATATGTAAAGACATACGCTAAACAAAAATCTTCATGGTTCCCTAAAGAATGAAGATTTAAGAAATTGCTGACATCTATATTTTCCATACAGAATGGATTGTGATCTCCATTGAAGTGTGGACGACATGGCTGATCATCATCAATCTAAAGAAAAAAAAAAAAAACACAATCGTTAAATTTATCTAATAAAAAATAACAAATAGTCAGTTCTTACTTTTATCCTTTGAACTTCAAACTTAATGTTCCGATGTTCTATTCTTCCATCAAATTTTGTATCTCTGTATATGTAATTAACTGCTGTTACATGATGTGCAATCAAGGAGAGAATTTCTTCTCGTGTTTTCTCTGAATCATTATTTAACTGGAGAAGAAAATGATTAAAATGTGCCGTTTGTTTTTTTGATAAAGGAAAATTGATTGTTATTTTACCTGATGTGCTATATGCCTCCATATTAACGGATCTGTCTGAATGAACAGCGAACACGTGTTTCTATTCTCTTCTTTGGGTCTAGCTGCCCTTTTCTCCCTTTTGTGTTTTACGTTTGCCTCTCTGCTATATTTGTTGTAAGGAGTCTCTCCTCTTAAATCGGCGCTGGTAGCACCAAATTTGTGTTTTTTATCACTATCACTTAAACCTGAGTATTTTTTTGGTAACTTTCGCTTGTTTTCTTCTTCCTCGGCGGCAGAATTCTGTATGGTCTCCATCCATTGGCTGACCTCGTCCGTGATACCACAGCCACCGACATGACCTCCTGGAAAAATTATTATAAATTTTACAAAATAATTTTTTAAATGTAAAAAAAACAAAAAAACATACCGGTTCTTTTGTGTCTGTATGGGTCTTCTACGTCAGAATCTTTGTAAATAACTGAATGAAAGCTCTTGTTCGTGTTGTCTGGGAAGTATCTTGACGCCTTCTCAACATAGTAGGATTCATCAGAGGTGATTATCTTGCCCTCGAAATGCCCATCTAATATGGAACCGAAGACTGTGCTCCCACTTTCACCTGAAAGAAAAAATTGAACATGGTATTTACTATTAATAACAGGATGTCAATCTAGTGTATGATCAAAAAAGAAGAATGGAACTGCAATCACTTGCCCTTCTTCTTTTTAGACCATACACCAGCAGATCCACATCCTATAATATATACCACTGGCTGAAATTTCACATAGTCAGTAATAATAATAATACAAATTAGTAGTTGTTTTTAAATAAATAAAATGAATTACAAACCATTCCTAGGTTTTTATGTATATTCTACAAAAAAATAAACAAACGTATCTCATAATTGTGAGAATTCTTTTTTAATTTTCGATAATTTAAATGTTAGACACATTTCGGCTTTTGTCATCAGGAATGATCGGAAATGACCAATCTATACTCGATTGTTCAAAGTTTAATTTATTTAATTGACTATTTAATTGAAAATAAGTTGTAAGGTTTACATTACAATATTTTTTCTGATGGAGGATACAATCTCTCATGCGTGTCAAACCAATGCTACAATATATCTAAGGAAATTCTTTCAACATAATAAAAGGGATTTTTTCTCTTTCTGTTTAAATGAAATTCCAAATGTTACGCAATGAAAGAATGTAATATATAATGGAATACGCAAAACTTTAGGAATTCAATTGTATACACAAAGAACAGGTTTTTTCCCCTATTTTTTAAACTTTTCAGAACAAGCCAGACCCAACTTACAAGACAATATAGGCAATGAACATTTGTGCATTTTATTTCCTTTTTAATAGTGTACTAACTTAAAAATGATCAAAATACTACAAAACAACAAATTTTAAGATTTGAATATCGGACAGATTGTTTACATAAAATAAATTTTGAAATAAGCAATGTCCAATGATGAAATGCTTTGCTGTTCTAATTTTCGATCGTTTCTATTAATGATGCTAAAGTTGCAAATGGTGTGGATAAAGAATCAAAATAACCTCATTGACTTTATACTTAATAAGTTTTGTTATACACAATGTGGCATATTTTTCACTGGTAATTCCAAACAAAATGGTTGAAACTTAAAAAATGAATAAATTAGGCTAAACTTAGAGTTCTAGAAATTGAGTGTTCAAAAAAACTTAAGCACTTACAGAAAAACTCTGGTGTTTCTGAAATATATAAACTGGCAGCTAGGATAATTTACAAGTTTCAATCTACTCTTCAGATTTAGACAGAACTGCTGGATAAATGATCAAAATTAATTTTACGAACAAACAATTCATCGTCATTCTGAGGCCTATTTGGCCATATAACATCGCACTTTGGGCGATATCAATGCTTCTTTCTATGTATCAAATTTTACTATGCATAATGAACGTAAATCTTGTGTGCCTTTCAATTAGCAAAAACAGCTACATGAAGTTTCACAAACAATTATTCTGTAATATCTCTCATAACCTCCTTAACAATTGAAATGCCACTGGTCTTGCAACATCATAACAGACATGAGAGTAATTAATGCCAATGCATTACTATTGACTAGTACTTAACAATCTGGGCCTTGGCGAGCACTACTGTTTTTGCGAACAAGCAATGATAAGTTTAGAGTAATCAACCAGATTAGAATATGCAACATAAATAATTTAGTCATCTACAAAAAAAAAAAAAAAAAAAAACATCGATTCTCAAATGTCATGCTCAATTTGTAATCCAATGGCATTAGAATCATTATGGCGTTTCTTTTTAATTTACCTTGGTTGACATTGTCAGGAAAAAATGTTTTACGTATGTACCTCCCTGACGATGCTTTGATTTATTATGCCCTAAATCTAAATCTGAGACAATTTATTACAGAAGAGTAACTTAATTACAATACCATGAAAGGCCAAGTTTGGTGCCATTGTGATCATTCATTAAAAAAAAAAATTAGTACAGTTTTATTATTATTATTAATTTGTAAGGACGTTTTAATGGCTAAGGTCATTGCACGCCATAACATTTAAACCTTCTATCTTAGTAAATCTAAATATTTAATGGTCTGATCAAATTATTTCTTTCAATTAATTAATTAAATCTTTTTATGTAAGGGTTTGGTTGAAATGAAACTTTTATGTTAGGTTAGCTATATCCCTTCTGAGTGCTATAAAGCTCTGACTCCAAACATTCACTCACAAACTATCTATCCTATTGCCAACCAAAGCTTTAATTTATCCATTTAAAATATTTAATTTGGAAGGCCAAATGTATGCAAAAAAAACATTGTAAATTATAAAATTTATTTCTGTTCTTTAGATTATTTGGAGATGGTTCTGGTGTGACGTAGGTTTTAGAAAAACATTTTCTTTACCATGCCAACGTTTCGATCTTTATTGAAATCATCTTCAGGGCTTGGGATTTATAAACACAATACATTACATATGTATTTGTATAATTTAAACAGTGTTTATACATTCCAGGCCCTAGATGATCTCAATAAAGATCGAAATGTTGGCAAGACAAAGAAAATTTTTTTTCTAAGACCTATGTCACACCAGACCACATCTCATGATCTCCAAATAATCATTAAATAATGGTCACTAAACACCACACATATTTAATTAGAATTTTTTCATTATTTCATTATAAACATTATCCATAGACTTGTATTGCTAATATTAATATTTACTTGCATTTAATTATCTTTTCATAGCACTTTCTAGTTTATATTTATACTTCTTATCTTTAAGGAATAATATAACTCACTCTATCTGAAAGGATTATTCTCTATAATAATGTATGTAAATAAAACAATTGATTAGTTTTTATTTAATTTATTTATTTATGTTTTTATTAACATGCATAAACCACAAACAGACATCATATTTACTACAGCGCAACAATTGGCGACAGTGTAAATAAAAAATAAATAAAGATAGTGAAAATGCATCTGTGCAAAAAAATATAAGAGACCAATGTGTCAAAATTCCAATTCATCAAATATTTTATCTCACCATCAACTAACCCCAGTGGAACTTATTAGTTGCTCATTGTTTTGTTATACAAAACATAAACAGTTTAATTATTAATTAATCCATATATGTTTGGCGGTCATAATTGACCATATTATTTATTTCAATTTATTATTCTTTTTATCTGAGGTATTGTTTGAGATGAAAAAGTTAGTGTCACGTTAGCTCAAGTGGTTAGAGAAGTCAGCAGCAACCAAAGGTCGTGGGTTCGAATCCCGCTCGTGGCACTAACGTTTTCATCTCAATTAAGACCTTAGATGAAAAGAATAATTAAGTAATATTTCCTCAGTTTCTAATCAGAACCAATGGTTAATTAACCTGGGATGATTTTAACAAAATACAGCAATCATGGGAAATTTTATCAGAAAGAACATAACGGGCTAAAACGTTATCGTATCCTGTAAGAGCGTTAAAGGAAAATAAAACAATCGGCCGTTTTTCTCGATATTTCCTTACAAATCCGTTATGATGTTGCAATGGGGTCTCATTCGCATAATTCCGTACCGAGGGGGTTTCCCCGTTGAACGAATCCTCTGTTCATGCCGTTTCGAACGTCAAAAGGCGTTAAAAAGGATGTGTCATTGAACCGGCAAAAAACAAGAGGAAAAAAAACAAGAATCCGTTAAATGATCTGGCTTTTCCTGATTCGTCCTATGGGGTGTTACCTAGGCATTGTACAGTACAATAAAAGGAAAACTTAGGCAATTGACATCGTTAAATTTTATTTGCTGTTTTTCATTTTTACTCATATTTAAGATTGTAAAATGATCACACAAAATCTCAACGCTTCATAATGAACTACTGAATAAAATGCAGACAGATAGTGTGATTTTATTTGCACCAAATTGGAGCGACTGCCGGAGTGCAAAAGATATGGAATGATAGGAACTTAGATCCTGGTTGTAAAACGAGAGCACTTGGCCTAACAAGCGTTTCGAATTAAAACTTAGAGCTTCAACCAAACTAGTTCTAGTTCAGTGAATAAAATTTAATTTTTATCTAAAAGGCTTCTAAGTAAGTGTGACGAAAAAAAGACGCTTATCACAAGAGAAAAAATATATCATCTATTGTGCAAGAAATACAATGATACAAAACGAATCCGATTTAAAGCTGATGATTAACAGTCCCTGTGGTCGTGCGATCAATTTCTTGAATGTTTGCATATTAAAAATATAAAATTGTTTTGAAATTCAAAATTCCTTTTAATTACCGAGAAATGTCTTCGGTTTAGTTTAACCGGATTTAATCAACCGGAGAAAGAAGTTGAAAATCCTGACGACCAGTGCCAATGAAACAAATGCTACTCATTATATATATATATATATATATATATATATAAACTCATATATTGTAAATAAAACGTTTTTGAATTGAATTGAATGGAGAGAAAATCACTTTTTACATACTAGTGGTCTTGACACCTCTTGGGCGAGATGTATGTGAGTTTTGTGGGGCATGTCGTTTAACGTCGGACCACTTCTCTTGGTAAATTTGGCGAAAATAAATCGCAAGCAATGTATCACCGTCATAAGTTCAGTATAATAATGCACCAATGTGGTGGAGGAAAAAGGTTAAAAAAAACCCCACAAAAACCAAAAAACATCGATTAGTTTCCCCTATTTGTCTACGTCCCGATCCGTCCAGGAAATACTTTCGGAAGTGTATTTTAATAATTAAATGTCGTTCTCGAAAGCGTCGGATGAGTTAGATTGATATAGATAGATAGTTATATAGATAGAGATAGAGATGTATATATATATATATATATATATATAGAGAGAGAGAGAGATAGAGATAGAGATAGAGATAGAGAGAGAAAGAGAGAGAGAAAGAGAGAGAGAGNGAGAGAGAGAGAGAGAGAGGAGAGAGAGAGAGAGAGAGAGAGAGAGAGAGTTGCCCCTTGCCCCTTTCCACAACAGAGATGGCACATATTCATAAGAATGGCTTATTTAATGGACCATTGAGCTACGGAGTTACAAATTTTTCATTTTACATACAGAGCCTTTAATATCCGAAAATAGTGATCCATTGGGACATAACA